AGAGAGAGAGAGAGAGACGGTGACGGAGGAAGAAAAATAGGCGTGCAGTACTAACCTTGAGGCAAGACTGGGTAGAGCGGGAGACAGCGTTGCATTGTAAAGATAAAAGAAAGGGAAAAAGAGACAGAGAAGGAGAGGGGAAGGTGAGAGGGAAGACAGGAGTTGAGTGCTAGGTTAGCCAGCTTGATCACTATTCAAAGAGGAAAGAGATGAGAGACAGAGGAACTGACAAAGAGACAGCTAGAGAGACACAATTAACCATAGAAACAGTGCGGGCAGACACATAAACAGGGAGACAGTAGCATGACCAAGCAAACACCTAGGCAGGCAGGCAGACAGTCACATAGACAGGTTAAATGCAGGCATCAGTATGGAGGGTTATGAGAGGTCTCCTCACCTCACACGGCCTCTACAAAACATTTCGGGGCACACACACACACACAATCACAAAACTGCAATCACGAACCATAGAAAGCGAGCAATTAGCCAATCAAAGCATGAGCTGAGAGTGCGCTCACTATGAATTATTTCTTCTTCAATGGTTTTTGATACTGCAAACGACTTCTTTCGCTACCCGCTGGGGTCACTTGATAAGTACGTTTGTGGAGACTTCTCCGCCAAAATGCATAGGGCATGTAATCATTAATATATGAAATTCGAAGAAAATTCACTTCCTTAGTCGGTTGACCCCAAAAGTATTCCACACAATCACTCCTCGTATATTTGGTCGAACTGGCAGAGCCCAAAACTCCAGGGTGAGCTTATGCCTGTGAACGCACGCTAATGACGGCGTGCCAGAGACAAATTGTCCATTACAGAACAATATAACACGCAATAAACTTCTCTAATTTCCCATTACTCAAGTTTATGCTCTACACCTTTAAACATCCTTTCTTTTTCTCTCCATTTCTATCCTTTCCAGTCTTTTCTGTCAGTTTCGTTTTCTGTTTCCCTCTCCTCACTATGTTGTCTGTTCGTCTTGTCTTTTCTCTCTGTCTCCACCCGTTATTTCATTTCTGTCTCACTGTTTTTCTCCCTCCACCACCACACCTTCCTTTCCCTTTTCCTCTGTCTTTTCCCTCTCTGTGTTTTCCACTCTTCCATCCAAATCCTTTATTTTGGCCATCAGGGCAGATTTTCAGCTCCATTTCCCCTCAGTGTGAAGTCACTCAGTCTGCTCCAATTACCATCCTTGTTACTGAAATAAATAACCTGGTACCATTACAGCTGGATTTAAACTAGAGGGGAAAGAGGGAGGGTTGATTTTTACCCTTGTTTAACCCACATCTGATCTTTTCATTAGTAATGTTCCCGCTGCTCACTCTTAGCCCAGGGTTAGCCTTGCTGCCAAGCTAAGAGTTGGCCACAGGCGAATGTATCCTCCTCTGACGTACCTGTTAGCTTGAGGCTAAGTCTTGTAATTCACAGCAGGGTTAGGTAGCCCTGGGATAAAGTCGGTATTAATACTTTAGTACTTTATGTTACAGTGTCAGTGTGTTTCAGTTGTAGTAGTTGTTTTATACTGACATAAATGTATTATTATTAGTAGTAGTATTATTAGTGCCTGTGGGTTAAAAAAAATCCTTGTTGCTAAAATATTAAATTTAAACACAGATTAATGTTAATCGATGGATTTCCAAACCACCATGCTTAATATTTACTAATAATTATTACAATTAGAAACATCTGTAAAGTCCAGTTTGCCCATTCCAACATAAGCTGCGATCATTCGCATGTCCGGCTAACTAGCTCAGTACCTACAGTAGTAGTATATGGGAACAGTGAAAACAGTCCAATATTAAAATTTTCTTCCATTAAGTGCATATTTAGGATTCTAGTTTTAAAAGATGGCAACATTAAAAAATCGGCCAGATGTTTTCAGTGTTTTGTATTTATTTAGTATTAAAACTGCCGTTGTTATTATTGTTAACAGTAACCAGGGGGGCTTAGCTAAGAGTGAGTTAACCCCTTTTCATGCCTGTTTCATCATGTCAACACCTAACCACAGCCAGGGATAGTTTCCCACATCATACATCTAACAGCCCTAAATGTGAGGATGTAAAAAGTATCATACATCGTTACACCCTCTAATATAACCTCTACAAACCGCTTACCTCACAGCAATGACTGTGTGTGTGCCAGTGTGTAAAAGGAAACTTAAATTCCCTCATAAAAATCAACTTAATCTTAATTTTACTATTACAAGATACTGTTCTCAAACATACGGTACAAAGCCTAGATTTAATACCGCTCCAGTTTCCAAAGAGCAGCCTGCAAGGTTCAGATATTGAATATCAGTTGTAGAGAAGACTTTATTTTATTGTAATCCACAGGGAGAATGAAACATCTCTCAAACACATGATGTAAGAGCTTAAGAGCTCAGCCATCTGCAATTTGAAATGGTTATAAAGTTACATTAAAATGTTATTTACAAAGCTGGTGCCACTGTAAATCTACATCTGTGGTTACTGGCAGACTAAATAATACACACTCACACATAAATAGAGTTAAAAACCCATCAGTTTGAAGTTAGCAGGTGCTGAATTATTAATACTCTAGTATTTCTACTGGCCAGACGGAGACACTGTTTGGAAACACTGAATCTCCTTAAAATCATTAGCAACCATTAGTCTTACAGTCAGGCTACCAAACACACAGACAGGAAGAGGAGGAGAAGGAGAGGAGTTTAGAGTTGAAGTGGGTAGAGATCATGTCCAAGGAAGAAACTGGAGGAAAAGATTAAAGAGACAGAAAGATAGAAGGCGCAGACAGCCAGCATAAGACAGTTCAGAAATCAAAGACGTCAAGAGGCATACCGACAGACACATGGACCGGTTTTCATAACCACAGACAGCTCTGATCTGTCTAACTCTCGGAGGCTACCACACTCTCACTACTATGACTACAATATAACCCAGTTCAAACTCCTTGTATGCTTCAAATTGTTGTTTTAACCTTATTATTTAACTGTTAACCGTGAGCTACAGACACCTGACCATGCTTAAACGGTAGATTTTGTTGAAGAAGTGACTTTGAAGTGTCTCCTGGGGCATCATACAGCGTTACTCATAAACAGACACACAGGCAGAACAACAGACAAACACCAAACATATTCAGGGCGGCAGGTAGACACAGAGGCAGGCAGGCAGGCATGCAGGCAGACAGGTAATCAGATATAGACAGAAAGAAAGGACAGATTAAGATTAGGACTATCTAATGAGGTAGATATTGTGTACAGACACACATAAAGAGCGAGAGACATATTGGTTAAGCTAAAATTACACAGATAGAAAGGTAGTTAGAAACAGACAAACCATTCCTATTAGCATAAAGGAAATACAAAAAAAAAACACAAAAAAAAATTAGTTAACTGTCCAGACTCCTAATGAAAGAAAAAGAGTGTGTTAAACTCTGCAAGTCAGGCATCCTCGGCTGAAAATAAAACAAAAGTGAAGCGTGAAAACAGAGCCACTGAATGAAAGAGTTGCATCATTGACAGGAAGAGAGGCTCAAAGAGTTTCAGGCTGCACAGCAGAGACTGTGGTGCCAAACTGTGCCCTCATTTTACAAACTTTTGGGAGCAGTTTGGCTTGTCATACTGCAGGATAACAGATGACAAAAACTTCTGCTGATGCGCAGATGTGGAAGAGTAACTTGTGCCTATAACTACACTTTTTTTTTTTAATCTATCCAAATATGCCGTATTAGGGAGAACAGATGCTGCAACTCTTTTATGGTGCTTATTAGTGAGCATACTCAGCTCAGTCCCATGTGGAAAAGACTGTGGAAAAGTGTTTTTATTTCCTTATGAATGTGATACAGTCATTATCAGTTAATTTCTTTGTTAATTACTGAATCATTTTGTCTAAAAAAATTATGAAAACAGAAAAATATTGATTATAATTTCCCAAAGTGATGTAATCAAACTGCTTGTTCAAATATTCAGTTTAATATTATATAAGGTGAAGAAAAGCAACAAATTCTCACATTTGAATCTCAATGGAAGAACCTCTGACCCATCAATGTGTCTGTATCTGCTGCATGCATTTCATTTAGGAACTCAGCTTGTGGTCCTGTGGTGGTTAGAGGTTCAATTCCTGAGGTGAAATTGTCCATCAAATTTATTTTTGAGGCAATAAGGAAGAATTAAATTCCACATAACTTTTCCACATGGGGCTGGTTACTGTCACAGTGCTCTCATTTCCCGTCCTCCGACAAGCAAAAGTGAGTTTTGTCGTGCAACTTTCTAATTGACTGACAGGGCCACCAGCCACTCACGTGCCCAGGTAGTCCCACACCAGCCCCCCCATTGGCTGCTGAGAGGCAGCGGGGGGAGGGGCCTGTTTTCGCGACTGCTGATAACGCCACAGATGAGAAGCAGAGGGGTTTCTGGGGTGTGATGGGCGCGCACACACACACGCAAACCAACATAAACGCACTCGCACAGATGCAGAATCATATGAATGCATACATATTTATGCATACATACATGTGAATAAGGTGAAGATGAGTGATGACAGAAGAAATAAAGCCGGAATGGAAGGAGAAAAGGGGAAGAAAGAAGGGGGAGGAAGGGGTGAGAAAAGGGGAAAACTAATGGATTAGTACTGCAGGGAAGATTACCACAGACTCCAACAGTAAGTAGCTTGAAACTGAATGGAAAGTGAAGTCCAATCTAAAGTTAAATGATCAATTCAACAAGTAAAGACACTCGAGTTGTTTTCTACTGATTTGGGTTAACAGAAGAAAGAGGAAGATGCAGTAATATTTTAGAAATTCTGTTTTTCTTCATTCATTTGTGTCTGATATTGACTCTCTTGGTCCTGGTCTCTCACCTCTCCAACTCGTGGATCTTTTTCTCCTTGTCGTTCTTTTCATTCTCCATCTCTCTCAGGATCTCCAGGAGTCGTTCCACCTCGGACTGGGCCTTCCCAGCGTCCTCTTTGTGCTGGCCCACTTCCTGCTCCAGGCAGGAGATGCGTTCGGAGAGTTCAGTGCTGGCCTGGGAATCTGCCGCTGCACTCTGAGCCTGGAACAGAAATTAATTATTATAAATAAACTGAGGGTTAGCTTTCAAAATTTAGGTGACCACCATTTGATGGAGGGATACGGTCAAACTAAAAAGGAATTGCCAATAACAACATGTGTGTTGAGGATAGGTTGGATGTGCCTAAACTGTTAAAAAGTTCAATTGGTCTTTTTATATTTTTACATACCAGACCTTTATTTTAGAGATGTTAGAGCACATCAGGTAGATTGTGTAACATGTTTGAAATAGAAATGCTTTAACACAGTGAGGCCTCATCAGTTGTGATAAATCCTAATGTGGAGCAGTGGAGCAATACCAGGCCTGGCTAATACAAAATCCAGGATTTTAATGGATTTATTAAGTGCTCCTTTATTTGTGTTTAAAACAAGTATTAATCCATTTAAAAACTATAATAACGCTTGCTTAGCCGTGTTTATTTAAAAAAAATTAAGTGATGAAGGAGTTTTTGTAAACTGTGGTGTCCTCTTACAGCAGGAAACACAACAACTTTTGCATGTGTGGGGGCATAAAATGATGTTGAAATTGAGTTTCTGATTCAGTTCTGCTCCTAGTCAAACCAGTGAGCAAGACGATGCGAGCTGGCAGCTCTGTGTGGCACAGTGGTGCTTTGCGCTGAATGCTACGATCAGCAATGCTAGTACGCTCACAATGACAATGTTAATATGATATGTTGATGTTTAGCAGGCATAATGTTCCCCATGTTCACCATCTTCCATTAGCGGGTTACACCAAGGTTTGTAATTAGCACTAAATGCAAAGCTGATGCTGATGGAAATGTCTTAGTTTTGCAGGTATTTCGTTAGAAACTAAAGGACACATTAGTTATCATAAATGTTGCTGTCATGAATGTGCGTGTTAGTCAATTACAGTATGTTTTTAATAAGTCTCTCTGATGGTTTGACCTGGTGTCAACACACATAATGCTGATTTATATAAAGATTAGCATGAGCATTAAAAAGGTGTTTAAAGCAAAGAGCAAATTAAACTGAGCTGCGGTGCCTTTCTTCTTCCCGCCGCTCTGCTCAGATGCCGAAAACGAGAAAAAGAAACAAACGAAATAAAACAAAGAAGAGGAAAAAAAAAAAAGTTATAACCAGCTTAGAGGTTAGAACAGCTGTGTGTGTTTCCCAGAAGCAAATGTTGCTCTTGGGACAGATTGACTTTGTGTGTGTGTGCACACGCCTTGGTCACACAATACATAAACCCTATTAGTTTTGGAAGTGCACAACAGTTTTTACAGGTCTTTATGTGGAGAGGAAATGTTTGGGTGTCTGGCGATATTATAAGAAGATCGGGGTGGAGGGAAGAGAGAGAAAGACAAATAAGAAAGGAAAACATCACACACAACGTCAATCAGTTCACACACACATATAGACAAGTTTTCAGTCTTTTTTCCATCCGTGGTAACAGAAAGAGACTACGAAATAAACTCTGATGAGAGAAACACCAGAGATCCACTGGCACCTTCACACACACACATACACACA